TGTTGAGACTGAGCTTCCTATCCCAGCACAAACTGTAGAAACTACTGTGTTCTTACAGCCACTCAGGCAGCTCTTGTCTATGGCTGTGAAGGGAAATTTGTCTGCCAATTCTTTTAAACTACTACCTTTCGAGAGCTCTAAACACCAAGATTATAATTTGAATAAATGCTGTGTAAAATTTCTGTAGTGAATGGCACGAGCTTACTTATAGGAATTATAAATGAGGACATGATATAGCACAGATACAAAAAGAAAAAAGAAAAAAAAAAAAGAGGGGGAAACTTTTACTTAGATTAGAATAGGGAGGGGGAAAAAAAAGGCCTCCAAGGCTATTCTGTCCAGGCAAGATATGCACACAGAAGATATTTTCTGGAACTTTGGGTACAGTAAATGATCCAAATAGGGGATAATCCAAGATCAATCTTCCATCATTTCTTCTGAGCCATAATCCAATAGCATAAGAGAGCTGCTGTAAAATGTAGTTGTTTTTCAGGCAGCAATGATGGCTGAGGAACTTAAAAAGGAGCAGGATACTAGTGCTCACTTAGAGAGAATGAAGAAGAACATGGAGCAAACCATTAAAGACCTCCAAAAGCGACTGGATGAAGCAGAACAAATAGCTCTGAAAGGTGGCAAGAAGCAGATCCAGAAACTGGAATCCAGGGTAAGTTTGTGATCCAACTTCAGACCACTCTGAATCCTGCTTACAGAACTGGGACCAGGTAGGTACCCTAGAGCTGCCTGATAAATTCATAGAAGCCAATAAGGGATACTATGAATGCTTTCCTCTGTTTCACAGAATGCAGGTGAGTAGTTCTCGGAGGCATGCTTCCCCTTCATCATCCAGCTATAATGAGCTGTTGTAGCACAGCAGGTGACCAATCCCTTGATTTCAAAAAAAAAAATTACACACACACACATACACCTCCAACATCTAAAACCAGCAAAAACCTCTCGCATGCTTGCTTCAGTTAAACTTTTTTGGCCTTTCCATATGTCTGTACCTCTGACTGCTAGTGCAGCTTATATATATTTATGAAAAAGCATAATGGAAAGGTGACATTTTGATCTGTTCCTGAAATTAGACTCTATGGAGATGCTGAGAAAATGAGCATCTCTTGAACTGTGAAAAAAATTATCTGCTGCTTTTATATATATGTAGCATAATGGCAAGGATTTTTTCTTCTTTTTTTTTTGCAGGTTCGTGAGCTGGAGAATGAACTTGAGGCTGAACTCCGTCGCAATTCGGATGCCCAAAAGGGAGCCCGCAAGTTTGAGAGACGCATCAAAGAGCTGACTTACCAGGTATGCTGAGGACTGCAGTAACCGCTAGGTCACTGGAAAGAAATGTGTTCTCCCAAACAGTGTCTTAAGTTGCCTCAGTGTTTCAGTGAAGGATGGCTGTACCCAGAGCTTTCTGATTGTAGGAAGCTTTAGGGATAGGAGGAACATAACTCCTAAGGCTACCACCATCTTGCCTGATTCATTGTACCTAATGTTAGAAAGCCTCTGTTGCCGGGATTCAGACAGTTTTAGCACAGTATTAATATGGAGCAGGCTTAGATGACTATTCATACTGCAAGAGAAGAAGGAGCCCAGCTGTCTCTCAGCTGTGCTGATGTTGCTAAAAAGAACCGGGAGGATTCAGTTGACACTGATGCATCACTCAGCATAGGGTTGCCTGGTCCCAGGGCTCTGTCACCTATTACTGAGCAGCAAGGTCTAGTCTTGAGCTTCCCACAGGTTTGCTAAGAGCTGCTGTCGCTGCTGCTTGACTTTCGAAAAAGGTCTTCAGTGCTCTCTGCTGATCCTTTTGCTTTCAACAGCATTCTTAAGAAAATAATCCTATCCATCTGCTTTAGGAGATTATTTAGCCTCCTACCTTGTTGTTTTACTTCGACTTTTGTACAAGGAGGCTGAAGGCTCTTTTCTTAGAATACAATGTGCAGAAAAATAGCCGGTCCTTCTCCTTATGGAGTGTGACAGATTAAACCTGGCTCCTTTTACCAAAAATGCCTCCAAACCAGACTTTAAAATATGCAAATTACATGTTTTTAAGTCCACTCATAAATGTTTCACTAAATAATGACATGCTCTATGATGACAAGACTGCTCCTCACTCCTGAGCATGTATAAATGTATGTATATACCTCTGAATATGTGTGCACACATATATCTGTATTTATATGTATCTATATTTACATACATATAAATGGCGAGGGCACTCTCTTTTAGTCCTCAGCCTCCAAGCTTACATACATTTTCAATCAACCTATAGAGATTTTTCTCATCTATACATGGGGTGATCACCCTATGGCATGTTTGTATGTAAACTATATGTTTCTAAAATAGTATGTATGACATCCATACCTACTACACTGTGGGACATGCTTTAGGCCTTTTTACACTATCAACCCAATTAATTGTGTTTCAATACAGTCAGAAGAAGATAAGAAGAATCTGGCCAGGATGCAGGATCTGATTGACAAGCTACAATTAAAAGTGAAGAGCTACAAGCACCAAGCAGAGGAAGCTGTAAGCAACTATTTGGGCCTTTTTACCTTTGATAAATTTATTGTTCTAAACCCAAAATATTTAATCCATAGAAGCTTTTAGTACAAATACACATTTTGTGTATTAATATTTGGATTTATATTCATATAAATCCTATAGGTTGTATTTATAATAAATATAAAATATGTAGCGTATGTGTTGATTATATATAAGAAAAGGTATTAAATTTTATCTTAAGATTGCAGTGTAATTTGCAAGGGAAAGGGGGGAGGGAAGGAACAGGGAAGCCCTTTTCCCTCCTAGTCCTTCAGAAGGCGTGTTGCAAGCCTCCCAGTTCACTTAACATGGAGAGTGCCACTGGAAACATCAACCCTGTGAAAAAACAGTCTCAGTTCTCCAGGAGACAAGTGGTTCCCATACAGCTGTTACCTAGTCGTGCTGAGCACTTTTCTTCCCTCTTGAAATGGAAGGCTTTATTTTCATGTGGACAGGAGGAAATCAGCTGCGCTGTTTTCTCTCACCAGGAAGCTCAAGCCAATCTGTACCTTTCAAAGTACAGAAAACAGCAACATGATCTGGATGATGCTGAAGAAAGGGCTGAAATAGCTGAATCTCAGGTTAATAAACTGAGGAGCAAGTCAAGAGATATTGGCATGAAAAAGGTATGGTTATACCATATGGGGTAAATGTGACTGTTTAATACACGGTAGTAGATGCTATGTATGCAGGAAGATCTGTTACATCTCTTAAAGTAGCATGAACTAGAATAAGTTTACTGCATTTTTTAGTTTCAGCCTACCCTTTATTTTAACATTAAGGTAAGACTTTAGGATAGCAATCTGATGCTTAGGCAAAATTAATTCTCCCTCCTCTTGATGTTGACATTTAACCTCTGTGCTCAGCAGCCAGAAGTTTCCAGAACTGGTGGTTTGGGGTTTTTTTGCAAGTGATATTAAAAAGATCTATCTTTTTCTCCCTGCGATGATGTACATTTCTGTAATATGTAATACAGCCTGGGGATTACTGCACTGGCAGATACTGTAACATTGCTCTTCCAATGACCTTGTACTGATTTGAAGAGCTGGATGAAAAGAAAATATTAGTGATTAGTCACTTAAGTGCTGAGAAATTGTTAGTAATTAGAAATATTTGTGGTGTTTTGCACTTTTTCAGAATGACAGTAGAGTAATATTGATGAAACTAAAAGGTGCTTAAGAACTTCATCTGGAACTGAAAGAAACCTTTGCTTATCTATGCTTGCATTGAGGCAAGCAGGACATGAAAAAATGGGGTTGTTACTTGTAGGAGTGATAGAAAGATGAGCTCGGTCATTGCTTTTATGTTATTTCATTTGCAAGTGTAACACAATCTCCCATGCTTAATGTCATCTAGGTTTTATGGGGGTGACAGCTCCACCATATGCAGCTCTACCATCTAAAGCAGAGCTACATTAAAACTAGATCTGTGAAACTCACAAGTTCTGAAGCTTTTAGGAGTAAAAGATTTCCACATATTTTTCTTTAAATTATTCCAGATCTAGAAAAAAATTCACCTCAATTTCACAAAACCATGGTATCACACAGACACTAAAATAGGTAAATCATAAGAATAATTTATTTTTTAAAATACTCTTAAGAGTGCCATTTATTCCCTGTATCTCACTAGTACCCTCTTTCTGTCTCAAATATGCAAAAGTTACAGAAAAGTGGATGTCTGTTTCTAGTAGTTAGATGGATTTGGTGTTGGTAGACTCACAGCTCTGGCTTATAGCAGAGTATTGTGCTGACAAAAGATGAGCTGAGTGGTGCACGCAGAGGAGTCATCTCCACAAAAAAAGAGACTTGTGTCAGTAATGGCAGTAGCTGCCAGGAAACAAGTTCAGGCGGTGAGTGCTATTCCAAAAGTCGTGACATCTCCTCTGGGGAGAGAAAGGCATGGGAGAGACTAACAGTGTGGCATTAGAAATACCTTGTCTACTGCTACTAGTACCCACGTTCCTGGAAACTCTAGGAAGTGTGTGTGACTCAGAGTGAACACCACCATCTATTGAAACGGGGTTGTATAGAAGTCATCCGCTATCAAAGCGATATACACCCTGGCATGAGGACAAGAAACCTGCATTGTTAGCTAAGTAAGACAGCAAAGGCTGGATAGATTGCTGCTAGGCTATTTCAGACACAAACTGGTAATATCAGGGAAGCAGAAGTTTTGGTCATTTACTTGTGTACCTACTCAAAAGCCCCCTCAACACTTCAATTTTTAACAGCTGTATACTATCTCAATTGCATTTCAGGTTCATGAAGAGGAATAAGTACAGTCCAAGCTGACAGATATGAGAAGATGCTTGATATAATCAGGCACAACTGAAAGCAGATGTAGAAAAAAATAAGCACTTACAGAAATAAACATCAAGTGAAAATCCAGAGAGACCATGTAGTGTATTCCATTCATTTATTTGTGTTTCCATTTTGCCAAGCCCCAGGGATCAATAAAAGATTCTATCTTGCCAACAGCCCACTTCATTACGTTGGAACAAATCCTAACTGGCAGATCTCTGACAAAATCAAAACCAAGGGCAAATCCACACTCCACAGCTTCATGTATTTCATGTGCGGATTGTTAGAGCAGCACAGATGAAACCTGTGCAGGGGGGCAGCCCTTAAAGCTGGGATAACCCAGCTTCCATCTGTCCTGCTGTATGAAATTTGTAGGAGAGCAGAAAGTAAACTTTTTTTGTATGAACTATCAGTTTAGAATCTTCCGCTACTACCAGTCAGAGGACTTTCATACAGGAGATGCTGTGGACAGACATGTCCCATCAGGACTTCTCAGAAATAGGGTGTTCTCTTAGATCTCTTCCACTTTCAAATTGGGAAGTCATCTTCGCTTGAAATTAAAATACTAAACAAAGTGAAAAATAGTAAGCCCTCTCTTTCCCTCATACTGAGGAAAAAAAAAAAAAATCCCTCAAACAATCTTCTTCTGTGGAAACATTTTTGTTGTCCCTTTAGAATATCCAAATTCCAATTTTTCACACCAATACCTCACATACAAGTGTCAGCTGACTTACATTTTTCTTCTATCAGTTCAGCTGTTTGTTACTGTTGCTCAGATAATCCCATTTCCATGTGGCTCTTAGTGTAACTCGATAGAGAAGGTGAAGGAACTCTTTGTTCTCTTCAGCAGTAATCTCAGTAGCACCTGTGCGTGCAAAGAGGGATTTTCTTCCGATATGTCAAGATGCTCATACGATTCCTCTGCTTCTTCTGCATTTCTAGTCAAAACAAAAATGTTTGTAAAAACTGATGTTTAAAATTAATCCTCTAGTGGGAACAGAACAAGACACACTCACTATAAATCAGTATTTCCCATTTTAACATTAGATGAGTAAAATAAACATCCACATAGCAGTGTAGAAACAATTCTGTTTCTTCCATCCAGTCCTCCATCACTGTAACTGGATCTGAGTTAACCTGTAAACTGTTCCACTTTCTCTGATTACGGTATGTTAAAGGTCTCAACAAGTCCCGAGATAAATGATTCTTGCTTAAATTCTTCAAACTAAGTGACTGCATCTCAGAAGTATGTTATCATCTCTAAAGCATGTTAGCATTAAGACTAATAAGAAGCATGCAAGTGAATCTCTAAGTGGAAGAAAAATGAAAAAAATATAGACAATTTTAGAGCTGTCCTTCTGGTGTGTTCTTGTCAAACCTCATGGTAACCATTGTAAAGCATCTCCCGAAGCTTACCAAATTCAGGCTGTGACAAAATCTTAATGCCCAGTGAGTTTGAAGGTGTATCTCTCCATGGATAAGGCTGTATTGTCAGACACAGAAAGATGTACCCTAAGGAACAAGAGCTAAAATTCATTTTTTAAGGATGCTCACTACAAATACAGAGGGAGACAGACCTGTAAGACAGAACCAGCCTATTACAAGTGCACAAGAATAAAACGCATCCACTTGAAGATGCTGTACTCGAGAGATGTGTAGAGAGATGAGATCAAGGGCCATATGGTTGTAAGAGTCTCCTAAATGAAGCAAGTAGTATAACTTTTCATACTGAAGTTTTGGTGAGCTTTGACATTGGATATAATTGAAATAGTCACTTGAGCTCTAATGAAGACTATGCATTGTTTGAGGAATTTCATGTTCTGGTTTGGGGTTTTTTTGGTCTTAAACATGAGAGAAATTTAACCAGGTTTTTTTTAAAGCAAGTTATCAGAAAGTATTTGTGAAGGCTAACCAACTTCCTCATCTTTTTATAGAGCACAGGAGAGTATGTGGTCAAGGGAACGTCATGCTAACATTGTTACAATGAAAATACAATTGCATAGATGTACCAAAGAGGGCCTTTTGGACATAGAAAACAGCAAGAACAAGGACAATTTATTTATGCTGAAACTTATCATCCTACATTTCCAGTCTTTTTTTGTATGCATTAACCATAGAAAATCAAATTTATGTTTTGGTCAAACAGTCAAGGTCTGGATTTAAGCTTAATAGTACCCTTAAAAATAAATCCCCTAATGATTGTACATACCTTGTACAAACAGAAACACAATCCTAACAGCACCGCTGCAGCAATCACTCCTAGCACAACTGGCCCAGCGTTACCTGAATTTTCTTTAAAAATACAAATTTCAAAAAGTTTAACATAAGTGCTTTATATCGCAAATTAACATTTGCTACTGTTCAATAAGTATATCAAAGATATGATTTTTCTCTTATTTATAATCTGAAAGTTATGATTTTAAAAAAACCTGAGACATTCTCCCTAATGTTACTAATACAGCAATGTTGAAATTACTTCACCCATACTGTAAGACTTCAAAGTGATTCTCTAATGACTTAAGTGTCAGTAGATGAAAGCAGATTATTTTACTTAATTGTGATGATACAGAATTCCATGTAATATGATTTGATGACTTCTTAATACAAATCCCATTTAAAAACAATCAACTGCCCAGTACGGTAAACACTGCCTCCAGGTACAGTGCTCAGTGCTGCTTTCCAGTAGAACAACTCAGTAAACATTGACCAGCCTGGCCCACAGATTTAATTTCAATCGTAAAATATTTGCAACTTTCAACTAAAACATTTCCCAACTTCATGATACAACCATGCAATCCAGGTGGGCACAAGAAGCAGAAGAATCCTGGGTGGGTGGTAACAATGAATTCCACAGGAGATAAGAGCCCATCTAGCAGAAACATGTGTGGCACCAGGCATCTCATTACTCCAGCCAATTTCAACAACTTGAGAAAACTCAGACCCAGAGGACTCATTCCTTTAAGTATGATTGTTCTACTTCAGGTTTCCTTTACACTGCTGCATCTTGTCCAAATGATTTGAAAAATTCTACACTCAAAAATGAGATCTGCCAAAACAGAGCACTTAATCTAGTCATTGCCTTTAGCATGGCTCTGTCCCCCCATGCAGACCTATATTCCCTTGTCAGCTCCTCTGGTAGAGCAGCTTTAAGCTGCAAACCTTCCTTTACACAGGAGAAGACCTCCAAAATTATTGTAAATCATCTCACTTTTCCCCTTAAAAGTCTCTTTTCCAGTGGCACCTGGAAATCTTTCTGATGGTGGAGCAGCTGCTGTGCTATGACCACTATCCAACACTTGATCTAGCTCATTCCCTTATGCCCTACTGTGTCTATCTGCTTTCAGCCTGTGCCATCACCGAGATGCTAATCTCCCTGCTAAGTGTCTTCACTGGTCTGTATAATGTATTTCTGCTCCACGAGTAGGAAAATTCTGTGAGCAACACAGTAATTTAGCCACTAAAGAGGGGATGTGTGTCACCTACGCTATTGTAGAGAGCAGCTAGAGAAAGGCATTTGTAGAGGATGATCCAGATCATATTTGGACTGGACAGGTATGTGTGTGTCTGTCTCCAGTAAATGTACAGGGAGACTGATAGACTTGTGCACTTAAGGTAGGAGCACTGGAATTTGAGCTGCAAGGAAGTGTGTTTGTCTGATTTAACCGTTTCCTTTAATCTAATTCCCCTCCTTCAGGTTGCATATAACCACTGCCATTTAAAACACACCCTACATCAAGTTTTCAGACTGAAACTAAGCTATCATGGGGGAGGAAGAAGAAAGTAAGACAAAAATATGCAGTTATTATCACTTATTCTAGCCCTTTTTCTACTATGTTGCCTCTATTTTTCATGTCCTACTGGCTTGTTTCAAGTTCTCTTCTTTCTTAAAAAAAAATAAAATAAAATGAGGTGACCTAATATTAGTTCTCAGTCTTTTAGGTGATTGTATTTAATTGCATAAAATGCCTACGTGCTACTGTTTGAATGTTGTGGGTTTTTTCTCCTCCCTTTGGACTGAGATTTAAGGCAGCTGCATCCCAAACAGCATACTATTTTTGAAAAAAAAAAAATCTGTAATTTGTTTGTACTACAGATTTAGAAAGCTGGAGTAAATTTTTTTTAACTGTCGGTAAATTTTCAATAGACTGATTAACTTTTCTGTTTACTGAAAACTCCTACTCAAGGTTAAAAAAAAAAATTACTCCAGAAAATTTAATCAGTAGGTCTCCTTGAAATGGGAGACAATGAAAAGCTGTAACTAAGATTTCACAGCTGGAAACTACTACAGTTTATAAAAACTCAGTCATGCATATAAACATATATATTCCCAGGCCTAAAAAAGGCCTGCTGTGTAGAATTAAAGCTCTGAAAATAACAATTTTATGTTCTCAACAAAGTTTCTTCCGCAGGCAAATTTATACCACATCTCTGGGCTTCCCTTCATCTTCCTGCTACCTTTAAAAGACATATTTGCTATCAGTGGAGCATTTAGAACATGATGCTGAGAGTTCCCCTGTGCCCTCAGCTCTGAGAGCAGTTGGTGGCAACTGAGGGCAGCCACTGATTTTGAGACCTTTACCACAACAAGCTGCTTATTAAAAAAAAAAGAAACTTCAAGTCTTTAAATAAATACAGATTAGAAAACTTCTTTTTTCCCTGGGACAACAATAACACAGTATCTCTTCTACCCACCTGTACTAATTACACAAGGTGATTTTTCTCAATACTTTACAGGTTTCTGATGGACTCTTTGGCTTTGCATTCACCTCACTAGTCCCCATCCTCCAAAATAGAAAAGCAATAACTTACCAATTTTCAAAGTTCTCACAGTAAGTTTTGTGTAGTGGGGAGTTGAAATATTACACAGATATTCTCCACTGTCACTTGCAGTAAGATCATGCAACATCAGCGAAAAGTCATTTTGGTTAATGTGGACTCGAGGCTGGTAAGAGTGACATGTACCATTGAAGGAGGCCAGGACTGAAATCACTGCGTTTCTGTTTAATGTCCAGACAACACTGAGACCTTCCATGTTTGTAGTGTTACTGCTGTATTCACAAGAAATTGCAGTGCTATTTCCTTCCACATTAGACAGCTGGTCTGAAACAGATAATTGAAGAACTCTCTGCAACTTCTTGGAAAATACTGTGAAGGTTATTTAGACATTTTCTGATTTTTTTTTCCTGAAGTCTCATACTACCGTGGACAAATATAAAAATATATTTAACTATTTTGATATCAGATTCAAACATCAAAGTATGCTTCTAGAAGCACCTGAAGATTTTAAAAGCAAGCCTATCTTACATTTAAAAAAAAAATCTAATTTGTATTATCTATGCTATCAAAATGATTTTGTTTCATTTGCCTACTTCTCCTCTAATTGAGGGGCTCATTAATAAAAGTGATTCAGCCTAGTCTAGGTTACTGTGTAAAGTAGCGTGAAATTCCACTTGCTAGGAGCAGAGAGAAAATGCAACTAACCAGACACCTGTGTGTTTAAAGCAAAAGGGTAAAACTATTACAACATAATTTAGTTAAAAGAATAAAAAGATTGTATTTAGTTAGAAATAACTTCCAGCTATGGTGGACTTAAGCACTTTACCTGTCTGTGTGGAATACTTAAAATTAATGAATAGCTTTTAAAAAAAGGATGGGGAAGGAAAGAGCAGGTAAGTGGAACTAATAGTTAATGTATAAAATACTAATGTAAGACAAATTAATATTATAGCACAACTATCAATTTGACAGCAGGGATTTGCTGCAAAGGAAAGCAAAACAGAGGAGGCTGTAGTGCTGGAGACAAAATGAACATGTTATTTTGACATGGTATAACCATGCCTGGTGTCTGTGTGTGGGGCCAAATGAACAGAGGCATGGGGCTGAAAACCATGAGGACAAAACGAAACAAAACTATACCCCACATTACTATTCTGTAAGGAAAAGGAAAGCAGTGCATTTTCAAAATATTCCAGTGAGAGGATAGGTGGATGCAGGGAAATTCAAACACAGTGTAATGAAGTGTACCTTTTCCTCTTATGGATCAGAAGGACAGATTAACAAAATGAACACAGTGCCCTTGTTATCTGCTATGATGCCATACTTGAAACGTTCCATATTGTAAGCTATTGTATGTAAATTAAAAACTCCCGTTCTGAAGCATATGCAGTGGATTAGGATCTGAGTCTAGATAAACTTTAGGGGGAAATCAGGGCGATGAAAGCAGCCATGCACATCCAAGGGAATTGCTCTTGCATTGCTCTTGATCCGATTAAAAAGTATTTCCTAAGAAACAGGGGAGGTTGAAAAGTACCAGTTGTTTACTTGAACTGAATTTCCAGTGAAATTCAGGAGGAAGACAAAATGGAATTGAAATTTCATAGCCCTGTTCTCCCTTAACTAACAAAACAAGCTGCTGTTTGCTCAAATACAAACAGCGCTTGCTGCTCTCCACTCCCATGCACCCTCAGCACTAAATCTGGGCACTTGAAGAGAAGTACAATGAAAGGCTCAAATAGTACTGAGAGAAGTCTGGCAAAAAGATGGAAAATGGACCGAGGAAGGAGCATACGCATCTAGAGCAGCAGGCAAGCTTTCCTCACGTAACCCACAGGTTCACTAAGGTTTCCATGTATTTTATCCGAGTTCAATCTTTTCTTGATAGAGTGTAAAGTCTGATTATTGGGCACCCCTTGAAATGTGAAAGTGTTATGGAAGAAATATTCAGAGTAAAGTTAACTTAAAAAGTGTAAGCCACCCCTCTCATCCCTTTTTCTTGGGCATATGCAGCCTTGTAATAGTAACAGATGAGTTTCAAAAAGGAAAGTGCATACTTTTGCACCATCCCATATCCATGTTGGCCCCCTGCAGAAATACTGTATTTCATTTGGCTCTGAAACCAGCTGTGACATCAGTAACAATGAAGGAAGAGACTTCCATTCATTCCTACCTTGCATCTTCCATTCAGCAGCCCACTCTTCATGAGGGAGATGAATACGACAGTAGTAAGGATCAGCTGTGTTTGTAATTTTCTGGTCACTTCTAAGAGAATAGAGAACTCCAACCCTGGTTTCCTCCTGATGTGTTTCTTGTATGGCTGTATTGCCTTGTACCCAAGATATACGTGGTGCTGGATAAGTGAGAAAGGCATAGCACTTCAGCACCCTTCCTGTGTCTGTCTTTTGGTATTCCAGTGCATAATGAGAGGAAACTGTAGATTAAAAAAAATAATATTAAAAAAAAATCAATTCTACTACTTTCACAGTCTTTTTTAACTTGAAATGATTCATCTTTTGAAATAATATTGGGTAGAATAAGCATTTACTGAGAAAAAAATTTAATCTGTGTTTGATTACAAAAGAAAGCATAGTCTATTTACTGTCAATGCCAGGCTCTGTACTGTTCCGAGAAGCCACATAATGTTTTAAAACTCAAGTATAGTGCCTAATTACCCCTTAGAAATCACCATTCTGTAGGTTATGAGAACAAGTGCTGCACTGTAATATTTCACCTCACGTTACGTTTCACCAGAGAGAATTAACTGCTTGATAACACCATTAGGCCCAAAAGATGCTCTACAGGGTTAGAGGATTTTGATTTCATGTGAGAAATAACACAGAAAAATCTGTTGCTGTAATTCCATTTCCACTAGCACAATTCAAGCACTTTTGACATCTTACCAACCTCTTACATGCAGCATGACTTCCACTTCTACCTTTGTTTGCCGAGTTCCCACGTAGCAATTATAAGGGCCCTCATCAGTCAAAGTCAGGTTACTAAGTTTCAAGGAGGCATTTCCACTAGGAATGTTCTCACGGAACAGCTGTGTTCTGTGTCTGTAATCTGGGTCTTGTCTTTCCAGCTGATCCTTCTGGTAGTAGTAGCTGTGCACATTTCTCTCCCCTTTCTTCCAGTAAATTACTTCATCATCCCCAGGTGGGAAAAGACAAGGGAGGATGCAATCCTTGGAAAACAGCCCTGTTACTATTTCTTGTTCTGTAAAACCTAAAGCCCGTAAATACAAAGAAGTAAGTTAAATCTAGTGTACAAGCATATTTCTGGCCCTCCTTATCCTTGACAAAAAATCATCCTGGCAGTCAGCCCATTCCTACCAAGTGTGCCAGTGACTCTTTCACAGCTTTTCTGTAGTGCAAGTCACTGGGACAGCAAGGGTCTTCATTCAGTTTAATTAATATTGTAACACAGAGCTCTGGTCTTTGAACTTACACTCATTTTAAGTAGATACCCTGAGTAATCACCTACCTATTCAAATCAGCCGGCCTCCACCTTAGCACCTGAGCTTCAAATGCATTTCCAAGAGCACCACTGTCAACCTCAAAACCTTTTGAGCTGCAGCTTGCTACTCGCTCAAACGTTCATAGCACCATGTTGTAATGACCCAAGCTACCAACAACTTCACAGTGTCAAGCAGTTGTACCAGCAGGAAAAAAGGACATGATGGTCCAACTGACAGAAAGAACTCCTTAAAACAGCTTCACCACCACAGAAGGTGTCAGGGAGTTTTGTCCCAGCCCCTGGAAGTAATTAAGGTGTGGATTATTCAAAATTAATTCATGTAAGTGGTAGCACCTGATTGCCATTACCATTTACTTTAGGCCTTGCTGGCATAAAGGAATTATTTTAAATGAATCTTTTTAAAAACTGACTGCATTAACTTAGCACTGTTGTATGGACCTTCTCAGCCCAGGTCAGACAACCTGTTAGGCTGGCAGCAAGTGTCTGGCTGCAGCTGTCATCTGGCAGGGCAATCCGGATGAGTCTTCCTCAGTCTTCTAAGTGCAAAGTCAACCAATATACTTCAAACTATTTCCAGTACAAACTGACAGCTACTGCCTGCTGAGCCGTCACACAATGCAGCAGAAACGTTGGCAGGTAAGTCTGGGTGCTCAACGGCCATGGCCATCCATGCGGTCATCTTCCACACAGCCGTCTTTTTCTTCAGGAGTGTTTTATATTATTCCAAATTGATTCTTTACTATTAATAAACACTATTTGAATTCATTAAGTCCCCCCATTAAAAAAGTAATAATTGTAATCTTTATTATTTTTCATTAGCAATAGAGCCAAAACCTACCCCAAAGTGTCGCACTTATGTGAAATAAAGAGATGAGAAGAGATGGTATTTTCTGTCCTTTCATGTCTTCTTTGGTTCATAGTAGATTCATGTCAAACTGGCAATGTAAGAGGGGACAAAACCTGTTTAAATGGAGGTAAAAGATGTAGCCTAATTATATAATTTATTTTGTACATCTTATTAAGGACTGTAGGCCTTTGTATCATGTTTTTTGTTTGCAACACTCTTGGCCCAGATTTTCGGCCTTGAGGTCATTATGTAATATACATTTCATAATGGTTGAGGCCTTCTTATTCCCATGTAATCCCCTGCAGATTGATACTTGATGTTTATTTTTAATAAATAGAAATGATTTACCCTCAGTGTTCTTACAGGATTAGGCAACATTAATCTTTATCATTCATGAACAGGATACAGAGGAAAAGTGGGCAAGTATAATTTCCAAAGGGATGCAAGATGTCCTTTGTCAAGCCAGATTTTTCTACTTCATAAAATCTGATCACTGCAATATTTGACTTTCTAGGGGGGAAATTTGCCTGTATTTGCAAAGACTGCAGATATAAAGAACTTGTCACACTTTACGCTTCAACAGATCAAAAGGCCATCAGCTGAACTTCCAAAAATTTATGTATGGAATACTAGTGTAGGAATGCAAAGGAGGAGACTCTCCCATCATATCTTCTGGTTTGTAAGTTAAATAACAGTGAACTGGAAGCTCTCATACACAACAGAAAAAGAATAATCTTACTGTAACTGACATACTGCACTCTTCTTCCACCAGGCATGCTACTCTAAAATACAGCAGTGGAGAAATCACCTCATGAATCAAATAGCTTGAAAAGAGTTTAAAGAGCTTCCCCTAGTCCTTTTCTTCTCCCCAAAGGACAGCTATAGGTACCATTCCTAACTCAAACAGGGCACACGTTTAGCCAGGCATGCTAGCCAGTTCTTTTAATAGCAATGAATAAGTTTGACTGGTGTGTTTGACTGTATTTGTGGCAGATGTGAATCTTGCATCCCAATGATTTTTGCATGTTATTTCTTTTGTAAAGCTAGTGTGATTATTTTATGTATTCTCACTTTTCTATTAGGGGAAAAAAAAAAAAAAACCACAACCAACAGCAGGGCACCAAAATAATACACCTGAGACAGAAATAAGGCAAGAGTAAAACAAATACTTATGATGTGTAATTTTGTTCCATGTTAGCAGCAGCTGCCAGTATCCATCTTCTTTTCTCCTTGTATGGGCAAGTGGTGTACATCATGTTTTACTGGATTTTTTTCCCATTTGTCCATCACTTCCAACTTGATTGATACAACATATCATGCTTGATGAATTTCAGAAACTACAATCAACGCTAGATTTCCCTTAGTGAGTGAACTGCCACATTGAATAGGCAGTCACATTTAACTGGCAGTGATGCTCTGAGAGTAATATGGTCCCCACAGGACCTCTGTGATGCCTCTGGAGGCTGCATCAAGGAGCCAAGCCTGGACAGTGCAGGCTGCGTTGCATCTCCTACCTGTACTCTGTAATGCTGTACCAAAACACAAACCTGTAACTACTTAACTGAAAATTTTCATGTTCAGCAAAAATCTTAGCTTTGGATCCTCCCATTGTAGCGTGTTGAGAAAAGTGTTTGTTGGTCTGCAGAAAAACCTAAGGAGTGTAGGATCTGGCCAGTCTTCAACAGGTCTGGGGTCTTACAGGCATAAAGCGTATGTATGCTGACAGTTCGAGTCGCACTGCAAAGTACTGAATACGCTTTTTCTGTTTATTACAGACCTAAGAGGCACAACTAAGAAATCACACCCAAAGGCTTTGCAGTGAAATATCAATATAAAATTATTTATACAGACAGCATGCAACTAGAATTAAGATCACTGTAGTCATGTCAGTTACTGATGCTCTGGTTTTCAGGAGACATTTCATACAGAACCACCACAGGCTCAGCCGGGCAGCAGCTCAGCCAGGGTTCCCGAGAGCAAGGCAAGGCAGTAAAATGCATGTTCCGACACATACAGCCAAGTCAAGCACCGAACAGCTCAGACAGTAGGAGACGTAACACTGCACTTGCTTCCGCCATTCCAGGAACCGAACATCAAACAGTACACGCTTTCTTTCTCTTCTGTTAGCGACCAAACCACGTGTCCCACATCCTGCATCATCTCTGAACCCTGATCAAAGAGCACTCCCCTAGCATACAGGCATCAGGATTGGTCTCTGTTCACTGAACTTTCCTCTGTGACCCACTTTGAGAGCAGCCATGCATACTGTAATATCCTAGCCCTGTCAAACAAATGTTATTCATCCCTTAGTAAAAAGGATTCTCATTAATTACTTTGCAAGTGTTGTAACTTAATAACAGTACTGTTCAAGCATACGCACACTACCAAGGACTGGAAATGCCCAAGGATTTCAAGTTTTACCAACATGCAAACAATAAGTGCATAAACTTAAAAGAAAACTCTACGTTAATCACATACTGCTAAAATTTTACACTAGCCACAATGATATTAGCTCTCCAGGACTTCCCCACTGAATCTTCATGAGGCATTTCTGTAGTAGAGAGTTAATTCTCTTCCTCCCCTCAATGAAACCCTTACGGCTTAAATCCTAATTCCACACTTCAATTATTGAGAAATGTTTCCATATTCTAAACATCAAAAGTTGTCTTAGGAAGCAGGTCAAAGATACTGTATTCTACCTCAATATACACATATCATATTCCCCACCTCCCTGACCCTGTACACGTATAACACCATAGAGCTGTTAGAAGACCATTGGGAGTTTTTTACCTCTTCTGATCTCACAAGTAGCCAAAAAATTCAGAGTCTTCTTGTTTTGGGTGTTTCTTGCAGGCAGAGTTTATAGAGCTATATATATACACACACAAAACGAATACACAGCTCTCTTGCAGCTGTGGAACTTTGCCTCTTCCCTGCTCCTTTCACAACCACACCTATACATACCAAAGCTCAAGTTCATTCTGGTCCCACAAATGAAAAAAACTTGTAAAGCAAGAACAACAGCTTCCACACCTCTTGTGCTCACTTCTGTAAGCCGTTTGGGCTTAAAAAGCTTTTCCTATTAACCATTTCTTTTACATGGCTTTGTTAAACAAACTCTTTAATGATAGCTCCTGCAAGCTTGAGTCACAGAAGACATTAGTTATTGTCAGAAATGTGATCTTTACAGCAGTGGTGATGTTTCCTGGGGATTATGCTCGGGCATTAAGAGAGCAAGAGCACCGCAGCTGCAGTAGAGACCAGCAATTCTCTCGTTAAGGCAGAGCACAGGAACCAGATGTAGGGAGCAAGGAAAATGCTGTATGGGCACAGGACAAAAAGAATGTACAATATAAATTATTAGGAGTTTTCTCAGAAACCTGAAACAATAACTGTAGGTGCCTTGGGCTGTCTGCAAGTTTAATTAATTATTTTCTAATGGCGTTTCACTAGTGCTTCGTTTTCTCTGTTCAAACCTTGCGTGTGCTATTTGGCTTCCAGTAGAAGAAAAGGGCTGCACGGCGGGTGTGCGCGGCTGGGCGAGAAGCCGGAGAGCTGGCGGGCAGAGATCCCCGCGGGCGGGTACCCCGCTGTGGTCAGGGGGTCGGGCGAGAAGGCCGGCTGCCGGCTGGCAAGGTGTCTGCGTCGAGTGAAAGACGGTCCCTTCGCGGCTCCCCCGGTGGTTTTGGCGGTTTCAAAACGAGAAGTGCCTCTAAAGGCCGAGATGTGATAAGTAAGGAGTCACTTGACCTTCCCTGCCCCCAGTAGGTAACTCGAGTTTGAATATTTGCCAATCAATCCGTGCAAAAAACAATTCTGCCCGAAATTTCTTGTATTCAGAGTAACTGCGGGGTATTTGTAAGGGAGGTTGCACCCATTGTTTTTAAGTCTGTTTTTTCAACTCTAATACATATTTGTTTCACATGTAACAAATTATTATATTTTTTAATTATGGTGGGAGACAGTAAACTTGAGAAACACGACCAATATATGCTCCTAACATCCACCTGCCCAAATAACTCTCAAATCAATCCATCAGTTTCAACCAGGCTCCACAGCAGCATGTCACACAGTTAAGCTTTCTGTAATTAACAGTTAGAACTGGGAAGGGGGGGGGGGGGCAAAACATAGTCCAAAACAGAGAACAGATTATCTTCCTGTTGGGAAGGAGGCTCAAATATGAGCTCCATGGCTGCAAGCTGTTTTTATCCAGCTGTCTGACCATCAGTATACTTAGAGCAAGGAAGCAAACCTTTGTCCACCGTAGCGAGCAGCTAAGACATGGCAAGGGGAAGAGTTTGGTTCCGAGTCTCTAGCGTGTACACGGTTTATATTTGGAGGGGACTAACTGTGGCCTGATTTTATGGACTGAATTCTCATTAGGACCACATCTTTTAATTTAGTGTGATCCAAAATAGATCCACTTTGCGTACCTTGCTAAAGTGACCCAAACACTCTACATGAGGATGGGTGGAATGATAATTTCAAAAACATGCTCCTGACCTGACTTACACACTGGTTTAGTTATGCCAGCCTTTTGCCACTCTTGAGGAATATGGGAAGGGAAAGAGGTCGGGGAACTTTGGAGGAAAAGGAACTGGATGTATTGCTGTTGACAAGAGTACTGGGGGGGGTTAAGAAGAGAACAGGAAATGAGGTTACTGTGGTATAACATGGATGAGGATGATCTGGAGAAAGAGGACACATCTGTTTAGGTAACGAGGCTTCAGTAAATTTGTTCTTCCCTCCTCAAGAAAGTGCCATTCAAGTCTTCGTGCAGTCACTTGATGAAAAATTTGTTTATTTATTTAAGTTTAAAGAGGCATAATCATATGCCCAAATACAGATACCTTTCTTGGTGCTATTTGTCTAAACTCCCTTTAATGCAGAGCAATATGCACTTTTAAAGCATTTTATAATGTGTTCTAAAGTAGGTGAAAGGTAAGAGAAATCGATCCCAGCTTCCAGTGTCATGGGTAAAGGTATAAAAGCTTATATTGGGCTGTGTGCTGTATGATGTTGACAGTAGTTATAAATGACTTTTGCTAATCTAGTCAGAGGATGTTTTTCAAATTTAAATTTTGTCTTGCACTGTAAATCACTTGCCCTGTGAAAAATGTCTGAGATGTAGCAAAATCTTAGGACGTTGATGGTCAGTTATTGATGATTGTGGATCTTTGCCTTTTGATTCTTTTGAGCTTTTAGGTATTTTATGGAATGCAAGGGACATTTGAATGAATCAATTGCATAGGCTCTTAATTAGTCAGTGGTGGTATTTTATAAAGTGATGGAATGGATTCTGCATCCCTAAAATGAAATGGGAACTTATCATGATTTGAGACTGCTCAGGTAAATAAGAGGAGGAACTTGGTTTTATGTGGAAATGTTAATTTGGTGGTGTTTAACTGAAGCTGTATAATCCTGTTGGCAGGAGAGAGGAGTACCCAGTTTCCATTTGATTCCTTGGAAATCTAATGTTAATAGCTTACTCAAAGCAGGAAATGCATGAGCTGCATGTAGAAAACTTAGTCTAGTGTGTGAAACTAGACAACTTGAATTTAGTTCAGATGGATCACTCATTAAGAAAATAAACGAAACTCCTTTCTGGCCTTGCTGGTTTATAATGCTGTATGACCTTCAGGACCTCAAAATGTTTACCATTTTCTCCCCTTTTTCAACAGGCACTACTTCGCTCTGCCCACTAATCCTGGTGAGCAGTTCTTTATGTTTTGCACGCTTGCTGCTTGGCTGATCACTAAAGCGGGACATCCCTTTGAGCAGCCACAGGAATACGATGACCCCAATGCAATAATATCAAATGTGCTCTCAGAATTGCGATCGTTTGTAAGTGTTGAACATGCTGTTTTCCCAAGTGTATTTCAAGCACAGGCGTCACTTCAGAAATTACACACTTGCTCTCCTGTCTGATTATGTTCACAAGGACTGGACAGATTTTTCCTATCTATAAGTGCGTACGATGTTAATTAGTTAATTGCAAGTTTATATGGTCTGTACCAACTTGCTAATTTTTTGGCACTATGGAAATGGTCTTACAATGTTATGTATGTTTCCAATTAGTTTTGTTTCACAATCTGTAAAATGGATTAAATCGGGCTTACTTCATGGCAGTGCCACATATGTTGCTCATTTATGGTAATGATAATGTAAATAATAATTTATAAAGATTTTATCTGGGAAGCTTACACGGTGTTTGTGATCCCGTTCCTGCCGAAGTCAGTGGTATAATTCATAGTGAAGGAAGTGGTTTAGAATTGTGTTCATGTTTTTTTCATCTTTTTTTGTTAAGGAGTAAAAGGTTGCATAAACTGCCAGGAACTTTTGTGGGTTTTTTTCTATAAAAAAACCTGAAGATCAGGAAAGTATATTGACTTACAGAAAGTATGATCTTATGGGAGATCATACTTCTGATAAGATCATCTGTGGCACAGCTGTGAATGGCAATAAGAACACTATTCTCTAAAGGAGTTAAACCATAACAAATGAAGGTGTTTATTCTGCAGGATAACATTAAATAAACATAAAATATTTTATAAATAAAATCTGGAACAAACAAGGCAAGCTGGTCATTAAATCTCAGTACCTGAGTTTCTCCGTAGCTGTTCTTACCTTGCCAGCATATCACTTGTGTGCTTGACCATCTGGCTCCCTTGCAGCTTCTGATTCTTCTGTGCCCTGTAAGTGTCCTCTTATGAGGTGCTTTAAGTTCTACACTGCATCTGTTCCTTGGGTCTTCCCTTCTGTTGCCTGATTGGAGGAAAGGGGAGAATATGAATTAACGTTAGTAAAATCTTCATACACAGTGGGCACTTTGGTTTTAGTGTAAAAAAACTTGTTACCTCCATGAGAGGAAACTTGAATTGATGAGTAGTCATTAGTAAACAGCATATCTCTCTATTTTAGGGAAGGCCTGTGGATTTTCCTCCCTCAAAATTAAAGGCAGGTTATGGAGAGCAAGTGTGCTATGTTCTTGATTGTTTAGCGGAAGAAGCCTTGAAATACACTGACTTTAGGTGGAAAAGGTATAGTATACTTCTAAGCATCCTTCTTTATGAGTTGTTTTCCAGCAAACAAATGTAAGTTGCAATTGTAAAGACCAAACATAGTACTGACTGAAAATGTATTACTTGATGTTTCACAAGATGCAAAATTCAACTAGACTTGAAGCAGTGGGACCAATTAATTCCTAATGCAATTTCACACAATTTAGTCTGTTACCAGCACAGATTAATTTGGACCATTATGACTATGACTGGTGACCTTTTTTTTTGGTCATTTTCCTATGCATAACTGTTTGTTAATCTGACAGTTGAGTTGAAACATTTAATGTCCTTTTAGAGCCTATCAATCAATAGCTAAATTATTGACCTCTTCAGTTGGAGGTGTGCACAGTATGCGATCATGTTGCAAATAGGCTCCAGTATTTTGAGTATTTAATCCAAAGGAAATTTTAGGAGAAATTAGATGACAGATAATTTCAAGTATATGAACATTACTTATAAAATGTTCTTTATTCCTTTCCTCTGATAGTTTTTGAAATGGATATAGCAAAGTAATTTCTACCTTGGAAATATTTTACCGTTACTTCTGTTTAGTACAGAAATTCCACTGTAAGCTGAAAGTAAGTCTCTGGTGACTTGCACTTGAATTTTAAGAGGTTAGACTAAAAGAGAAAACAAATCCAAATTTACTCCCCAGGTGTACTGTACTTCTTGGCATAATAACTAATCCTTGCTTTTAAGACAGTCCAAGGTACACAAAGACTTTTATGGCTGAGTGTTAATTTTGTTTAAATGTGTGAGACACTAATTGCTGTCCAGTCATGTTCCACAGCATCCATACTTCTAATGAAATTCTTTGTTTTGCTTAGGAGCAATTTACAGAGAGACTTTGATTTACTATGTTTAAAAGCTCTTTGAACTAATTTCAGGCCAGCATATCCAACAGAAGAGCTAGAAGAAGAAGAAATAACAGAAGATGATGCAGAATTAACACTTAATAAACTGGAAGAGGATGTTGTGGTAGGTTTACCTGACTTGTTTTGATTATATTAGTATTGGTCAGCTATGAGGAAATTTTCACTCACTGCTCATTTTGTTTGGCTTTGTTTTAGAAGTCTTTTCTGTTAGCTGTTCAGTTGCCCTTTTTTCCTGCATCTCCATTCCTGCCTAGTCAGCTTCCCTGTCGAGTTTTTTGTTTCCTTTCAGATAAGGTCTTTAACTCTTCGGTACAGCGCATATAGAGCATATGTTCATATGTGAATTTATAGTTAAAGTGAAGAGGAATCTGACATTGCACAGATTCAGGATTGTTTGTTTTCTATCGATACAAGCTGTTGATCTTAAATGAAACTTCAATCTCTGTTTACAGAATTGGGTAATATTTGGTTAAATTCTGCCCAGCACTTTAATTAATAGAGTGCTCACTCAGATTTCACTGCAAATAGGAAACAGTAACTTTGGTACTGAGTTGGTCTGAAGATTTGGGAACAGAGTAGATGGAAAAGAACAAATGGAAACAAATTATTTGTTTAAAAACACCAACAAAGACCTAAGTAAAGTTGTAGAATTGCTTCTGTGGACAAAGGTCACGGCAGCTCATTGCTGTATAGTCCATGAAGGGAATGCCCATCATCTGACTGCAGAATAAGGCTTTCTGTGTGCTTTGAAATACCTTTTACCAACAACATGGCAATCTTTGAGGATCAGCTGTTTTATTTATTTCTGATTTTTAACTATAACAATTACAGTGAAGTTGTCATGTCTATGAAACAGTCTGTGAAATTCACCTGTAAGTTCGAATATGCTTTTAGGACTTACTGATGGATAGATGTTGAACAGAAGTTGTTTCTTGTTGATTGACTTTCTCAGAAGATTCTTTTTATGAGAGTTGGAATCTCACTGTAAACTGGTAGCATAATGGGATCCCAAGACATTGTCATTTTCACGGGCCTCTGTCACTCTCCTCGAAGTGAGTCTTTACTGCTGACTTAAACAAGATTTTTCTGGAGAGGGAAGTTAGCTGAAGACAAAGCGAAAATCACAAAAAGTTAGTTTGTCATCTGATTTCTCCAAAAGCTGTTGATTCTGTGCAAAATAAGTGTAGATCAAAATATTGAAAGCTGTGAGCCTGGAAGTGTTCACTTGCAGCGTCAGTAAATTACTTGAGGAGAACAATTTTCTGGAGTGTTAAGGCCCAGCAATACTTGATGAAAAGTGCCACAACTATGCCATTTTTATGTACACATTTTTCAAGTGCTTGGGAGAAGTTAAAGGTCATAAAAGTTAGAAATAGAGTGTCAGTAATGTTATCATACGGTTCTGATTTTAGTCCCAATTTATATGCCACAATAGTTGACAGTAATCTAACAGTTGAAGAGTTTGCTTCTATTCTTCCTCTTCTCACAGTTTTCCTAAGTACTGTGATATTTTTCTCATTTTTATTAGCCAAGAAAAATTCCAAACTTATATTCTTAAATATCATGCAAAATGCAGATACTGTGATGCGGATGTCTGGTTGCATTTTTGTCATCTTTGAAGTCTCCACAGAAAAAGTCTTGAGTAATTCTGAGAAGAATAAGAGACATTCTATAGTGCATGTTTGACCAGACTCAGAAATGTAAGCTGTTGGCTAAAAGCTTTAAATATGAAAACAGTCAGTTGTCTGCTCTTTTCTATGTCTTGTTAAGGTCTAAGCTGTTTAAATTGGGAAGTGGGGACGAAACAGTTAACTAAAATACAGTTGAAACCCTTCAAAGAACCTCTGGATTCGCTCTCAGGTAGTATCTTAGGCCATGATTTTCACAACTGACATGTTCTATTAGCTTTTCTGAATTTGTGTGTTAATAAAACCATTGAGCTAGGTTTATACCAAGTGGACAATCACTTTTTAGAGCCCCTAATGTTTCTACAGGGATTAATTATATGCTGATGTAAATTTTTTTCCACAGTGCATTGTTGCTGCCAATATATTGCTATGTCCTGGATGTATTAGCTGTATCCATAATTAAATTTAGCAGTATTTGCAGTAGTTAAATGGTAACAATGAGGTTCATTGATTGTTCTGGTTTTGATTTTTCTGAATAAAATTGATGAGGCTGACAGAGACAAGCCTAAGTTCTGTAAATCTTGGAGAATTGGGTAGCCAACAGTAGCCATTGCGGCTGGGTGTGCAAGGAGATCTGCACAGTTTGGATTCTCAGTTCTGATAACTACTCGTTGTTATGGTAGAGTTGTAATATGTTCTTGTAAGTGCTGCACAAATATGTATTGTCCATTTAGCAAAAGACAATCCCAATCTAGTCACGATTAATTCTTGCAAGTATTCAGGGAACTGGGGCCAAACAAGCCAGAATAAAATAAAGTGGTTCCTGTTAGTTAAAAACTAGGTAAGGTAGAGAAATAAGATCTCAGATTTTCATAACTGAGTCTTGAAGGGTTCTACACCAAGACCAAGGCAGCTTTCATGATTTGTCTAGAAAGGAGGTGGATGATGAAATTTTACTTTGGTGGAAAAGATGGCTATCAGAAGAGCTACAGAAGGACAAGGTGTATAAGCAAGAAATGCATGGGTGATAAAATGGCAGGTGAGAATCAGTATAGATAAATGGAGCGTAATGCACAGAAAAAGCATCTTTGACTTTAATTATCCTGTAATGGGCTCTGAGCTGATCATGGTCACTGAGGAATGCAACTTTGAGACAATAATAGAGAATTCTCTAAAAACGTCAGCCCAGTGTGTAGCATTGTGGGCAAGAAAACAAAACAATTTGAATTGTATCATTCTGTGCCCTTAAAATGTGTCATCATTTGCAACTCCAAATGTGTAGTACAAACAACATCTTGAAAACTACATTCAGGTCTTGTGGTTTGTTTTTTATTTTGGTTTGGGTTTATTTTTAATGCAAAGCTTTAGGGAGTACAGAAGAAATTACAATTACCATACAACTATTGATAATGGCTCATTTGATGTGAGAGGGCTTAGGTTTTGGGGCTTTTTTCATTTGTTGGTGTAGTTTTTAAATACTGTGGCACCCTGAGGAAAATGTGGGGTAGCTTTAATCTCTCAGCTTGTCCCAGATATTGTGTCTCCTCATAAGATTTTAAATACACACAGTCTCCACTATCAAATTCTCCATGTCTTGTTTTGTCCAGAAATACGGAATTTAATACTCCTTGTCCTGTGTGCCTGCAAAATAAAATTATGGAGAAAGATTGTGCAGTACTTACTGAGGTCTTACTTTGCAACTTTCCTTAAGGAAGAAGAGTCAGACAATGAAGAAAATTTTATTGACCTGAATGTTCTGAAGGCACAAATGTACAGATCAGTAAGTTGTTACCCATCAGTCCTCTCTTGAGACATTTTTACATCTGTACCAGCAATTTATTTCTGTTGGATTTAAGTCTGAAAATCCTTGTATAGTCTAAACTTCTAAAAACCATTCCAACTGAAATGAATCAGCTTATATTAAAAGAAAAATATGCAGACAGTTTCTAAACTGATATCACTGCAAGGTTGCTGGAAACATTTGCAAGAAATTTTTGCAGAGACTTTTAGAGAAACGTGGTGTTAGTGTCGTGATTATATTTTAATTCCGCCCCTGCTATTTCTGGAATGTATTATAATTTCCAATTATATACATTTAATTATTTTCAATTTTAAATATGGTGAGAAGATCTATTTATTTTAATTCATAATCTTTATGAATTCAGAGAAAGCCATTAAAGAAATCTGTAGTCTAGATCATTCTGGACGTAAATGTTTTTTCTAATACGAACACTGTAAGCCATTGTAACATGATTTCTAACAGTTTTTACTGTGCATAACGATGGCATTTCCTATATAAACTCTGTGATTTTTACACAGGACATGAATGACACTGCAAAGCAAGAAGAGATTTTACAGTCCACAACAGATGCAGCAGAGTGGAATCTTGAAGTGGAACGTGTGCTTCCACAGCTGAAAGTTACGGTCAGGACTGACAATAAGGTATGCAAAAATGGATTTGCTTGTGTACATATGGTGATTAAAGTGTGATTTCAATCGATGTTGTTTACTTTTTTTTTTACAATTTACAATTTTTTTCTTTCGTCTTGCCTAGAACTGTGAATAACGGGATCTCCAGTGCTATCTTGTCTGAACCTTTGTCACTTTGACCCTAGAAGTAATAATTTTCAGTAGGGATTTTCCAATATTGTATAAGAATAATTTTTCTGTTACTTACAGGACACCTTATTACAATATATTTATTACCATACATTTATGTGGTAGAAAGATAGACAGGTAGAAACTTCTTAAATTGTTAAACTATTCTAATGTATTCACACTTCTGAAAAATTATCCCCTCAGTTTAGCAGCTATTAAAACAGCTTCCTGGAAGAGAGCTGATGAACTTACCTTTCAGCTGTTCCCTCTGTCAACAACATGAAAGGCTGATTGTATGGAATTCATCTTGCTGAACTTTACATGTCAATAAAGTAGGTCTGTATCTCTGATCTAGTCATCATGTGCTCTCCTTATGTTTAGCAAAAAGAAGTATTTTTTGACTGGTTTTACTTACCTGTCCAGATAACTGCCTCAAGATGAAATTCATAATTTCTTTAGAAATGTATATTTCTCTCCATAATCTATTTCAATGAGTCTAGCAGCTTAGAAGTAGACATCTGTCTTTGACAAGTCCAGACCTAAACCTATTCCTGGCATTGCCATAAGCATTCTTTCTAGGAGCTTGTATCAGTGTGGTATTGAAATTGCTCATTTGCAGTGACCCAGCTAGTTGGGGTGTGGAGCAATCTGCAGCAGTGATACAGAATTCAGTGAAAGATAACTGTCTTACCAAAAATAGGCTAAACTCTCAACTATCTGCTCAATTGCTTGCCTGTCTTGCACTATACTGCATTCTTCTGTGTGAAGAACTGCCTGGTTTGAGCCACCTTTCTGTGATCCTCAGCAAGCCCATCTGTTACAAAGAACATGATACTTGATTCTCACAGTAAGAAATCAAAACTTCATGAAGACACACATGGAAAATTAAAGTCACTGTAGGAACTGAGGTTTACTAGCTTCCAGTTTAACGCACCATCTCTTGGCTTTAAGGTATATGTCAAAATGAACATAAAACCAGGATTTTTCTTTTTCTATCTTCTGTGCTTTCATGCTTTCAGAAATAACTGGAGGGAAGTGTTCAGGCTCTTTTCATTCTAGACTAAAAGTGTCATATATTATGTTTCCTCAGCTGTGCATGTAAATGTAGTGCCCGGAGAGAGTTAAAGGTATAATCAATGGCATTAGAAACCAGAACTTTATAAAGTCCTGTCAGGGGTTGTAGGGGTGTGTGTGTGTTTGTGTGTTTGTTATTGGTTTTATTTAAAGTCCAACGTTTGGCAAATTGTGAACAATTGTTACCAGACCAACAAAAGATCTTGAGTCTGCTGCAAACATAAAACCCAACATAAGCACATTTTCTCTACTAGCCTTTGTTTCATTCCGGAAGAGAATAGTGGGCAGCAGCACAGTTGTAGCAGGGGGTGAACCTCATGGGCTGAACAGCTGTTGGAGATGCTCGGCTGTGCAACTGATGAAAATGCCTGTGATTGAAGGGTGGCACATATTTAAGTGTGCAGCTGGTTTAAGCCAGGATTTGGTTTGTCCTTGTACATTATCAGTGACTGTTATCCTCCAGGAGCTCTGGGATTGGGAATTCTTCTTGCTTGGGTGCTGCAGCCCAGACCCATGTGCCTGGGAACCCGCACAGACACACAAAGGACCCCGACATGGCCAGCTACACAACCTGCTGTAGACAAGGCCCTGTCTTCAACAGCACTTGTAGGACTCCCATAAAATATAAGTATAGACAATCCCATCCTCCTCTTCAGCTAATTAAGATTGATGTTCAGTAGTGAAAGCACACCCACCCTTCTCTAGATTCACAAGCACATGCACATTCATGGATCCCTCAACTATCAGCATAGTCCTTCTGTTTGTCCGATCCCACTGATGAGGGTTAAAGGTTAAAACAAAAAGAAGTATTTCACAGGACAAGGTCTTGGGAGGAGTTAATGGGCTCAAAGATGTAGAGCCTTGAAAAAACAAAGAAATAAAACCAGATGAAACCTTGGTCATGTGCTCAGGGATACAATAAAGAAAGACCAAGATGTGTCCTTTAGATGAATTTAGCTCATTATAATGTGAAAACGACACCTCCTGATGAGAAGAAGCATCCTACTCAGAAAAGACCCCCACCCTTTGAGTTGCTTAGGATAATAAAAAGACACTGTAACTTCATCATCACTGTGTGATGATAACCAATGAGGAACAAACTGATAAGAAACTAACCAATGATGATTGCATTAAACATGTCTTTGTGTGGTTTGAAGTGTATAAATATGCCACTTGCCTATGTGTGGTGTGCTCGCTTTATGGAATTACTGCCTAGCACCCATCTCTGTGCAGGTATGGATTAAACAAGTATCTCAACTGTGTGTTTTCCAGCTCATTGCACACCAGGTAAAAAAAAAAAACCAGATTTTGGGACAACACCCCTGCCTGGATCCTGGGCCCTCTGAACTGTTTCGCTGCTCTTCTACTTGCTGGTAGTCCAGCTTGATGCTTGCCAGCAAGCAGATGCACATGCTCATGTGCTTGTCTTAAGGGAAATCTTCATTTGTAGGTCCCCCTCAATACCAGCATCTACCCTCTGTGGACCTCATACCTAGGCCTGGATCTAGGGACTACTACTCGACAGCTAGTTCAGTTTTAAGTCCGCTATTGAATTTTACACGTGGGCAGCAGGTTTAAGGAAGATGCAAACACTTCGCTGTCCCCAAGCCCCTCGCTTGCTTTAATCACACCAGTCCTTCCCAGTAGCTGGATTTTGGGATGCGGGCCAATCCTGCCTTGGTGGCTAAGACCCTCACCTGCTCCTGTGGCTGGCATTGAGACCCCCGCCCTCTGGCTGCAGACACGACAGACCTGGGACATGCGCAGCCCTGCTCTGATTCTGGTTGCTGGCCCCCTATCCCCTCTCACCAGCAGCTGGCACTTAGTCCTTGCAGCCCTCCTACGTGCATGGGATAGAGAGTGAGATTGCACAGAGGGCTAATTAAAAGAGAATTTATTAAGAAGATAGGACAGACTGCAGTGATCAGGCACAGGGCTCAGACGAGTGGACTGACTGGCAAGTGTTACCTGTGACCATCCCCTCTTATACCCTCTGTTCTCCACTTTGTTCCTCCCCAGTCCCCTTTCCCTGCATGTTGCTTCATCTGTCGCATAATTGCACCAACTCTCCTCCCAAATACCCAGACCCTCTAGATTTGTGTTCTTGTCAGTTGCAAGGGCCACTTCTCTGAAGTAATGCTTGCAGTTTCTTGATAGTCCATCAGTTAGTGTGACTGAGGGGCTTTGTTTCTTGTCTTCCTCCTTTGTTTCTTGTCTTCCTCTCTCTTAGTGTTTGTCTGACAGGTCTGTGTCTCCACAGGTTTTATTTCCTCCCCCTTTTCCTTATCATCCCATTTTAACAAGGTCCTTGATCAGATAATTGTAGTGATACAAACATTCTCACACTCTACATGCCCTTACCCATTAGTGTTACTGGCCAGGTGCGTTTCTTGTTACTGCCTCTATTATTGTTTGTCGGTCAGTTTTGTGCCCCTCTGTGTTTTGCTTAGCATCTTTTTGATAAGGTCCTTGGTCAGATAATCTTACTGAAGGAAATGCTGTCATCTTCCACATATCCTTAAAGTACCTATTTTACAAGAAAGTCTTCTACAGTTTGATTTCAAGCGATAAAGATTTATCAACATCACTCTTTTTTAACACCTAGACCAGCACAATGCCAAGAGCTTAAAAATCTTAGAAATACTTTTTAGAATGTTCAGAAACAATACTGAAATAGCAGTAATTCTGCAGTACTGCTACTCTTCTTTATTTTGAACTCACAGTATCTGCAGCTGTGCTTTGTGTCTGGGAGATATAAAAAGTTTGCACTGATAAAGAAAACAATTGTGATGGAAGCTTGGGAACTGGAATTGATTTCTAAGTAAAAGATGTCTACCTATCAACACCTTAAAACAGCACCTTTTCTCATCCCCCATGCCTGAATCCATGTATGTTTCCTATGGCCTAGAAGCTGCAAATAATTTTTCCCCTTCTAATTTTGTCCCACTATCAAAAACAAGTTTAGGTATTTCTGCCTCTTTGATTTCCTTCTGTTCTTCTGATAATAGTAAGGGCTAAGTAGAGGGGAAGATCTGATAGTCTGAAACTGGTAGGTGTTGGGCATTTGAAGGGCTCTTTTTGTCTAAGAATAAGCTGAGCTACTGCAGCTATAATCAGTATTTTCAGTATTTGTACCCAGAGTGGTTTCTAGCAGAAATAGTTCCATGAAGATCCGACTCTAAAAAAGCCTAGTTACTATGGTATTGCTGAGGATGTCACTGTTTGTTTATGGATTGGAGTGTCACATGTAATGTTCAGGAGATTTATAAATTGTGTCACTTCAAGCAAGTGCCTCTGGATATGAACATGGCAGTGGCAGAATGATACATAGTAATAGCATAATAGCCTTGCATACCAGCCTTTGTTTAGTAACCAGAGAAAGATAAAAGTTGTACTTACCTATGTTTTGTTTTGTGGCATCTTTTTTAGGATTGGAGGATTCATGTAGATCAAATGCATCAGCATAAGGATGGAATTGAATCTTCTTTGAAAGAAACTCGGGTATGTCTTGTATGTGCAGAATATTTCACTGATCTGTCAGCATCTTTATTTTCTCTTTGATATACGTTAAGAATTAAATTGAGGGTTTTCATTTTATTTGTGATAATGCTGTAAAACTATAAAGGGAAATGTACAATAATGATGATCAGGGACAGTGGGACTGGCAAAATATCTTGTGGGAAAGCGTTGTATATGTGAGTATTAACAGGGATATTAGTGTTCATTAATGTATGCATTACTGTAAGTACATCCTGACTACAGAGGACAAAATAGACTAATACAGTAATACAACATGAAAATAAGTGCTGACAAAAACCCCAAAACCACTGTCAAATGCTGACACTGTCATTTGTAATTGGGGGGGGGGGGGGGGGAGTGATGGAAGCAGTAAAGCTTGAAATATGTGTTTTGGAGGTGGGCAAGCCAGAAAACATTAGTAATAACTTTTTTGTTGACTAAACACAGCATTTCTGTACTATTTTTGTTCCTCACTTGTAGGCTTCCATACCCTTTCTTAATTACAACCCTATTTTAATACTGTGCGCGTACTATCTGTATACTGTCAACCCACAGAATATGATTTTCTAGGGTTACCTTGACAAACTCCATAATGAAATCAGCAGAACACTGGAAAAGATCAATAGCAGGGAAAAGTACATCAACAATCAGTTGGAGCACTTGGTTCAAGAGTACCGTTCAGCACAAGCCTTGCTGAGTGAGGTAACGCAGTGATCTTTTGTCGTTGCCTTCTCTAGTATTAACTTGCTATTAAGTGAGGGTGAAGGCAAAGTCTTGGAGGAGTGATCTGTGAATTCTGCTGTTGGATATAAAGCAGGGGAAATGTTGATTGGCTGTCAAATTATATAGTTTTTAAGCTAAACTAGCAATTTTTATTCAGCTATTCTACAGGGGAAAGTAAATGGGTTGTGCCTGAATATTATGTAAATCTGTTGCCAATTTTCAGCAGTTAGTAAATTGCTAGTTCTGCTTTCCCTGTAAAGTTCACACATCTGTGATGAGTGGAAAAACTACAGTCTCAGTCCAGCACTTATCTCATATATTGATTACTCGTGCTAATGTGCACAAAGCACTCTGATTACTTCTTTGCTTCATTTAGTTTTTATGCCAATAGAGTGCTGTTTGAGAAGCTTTTTGATCCCTTAGTTAGTAGGCCTGTATGAGCTGCCATTTGGCTAGCCCTCCTCTTTGTGGGTGTGATGTTAAAATAAGGCTAACAGTATTTGACCGTTGTGCTTTCTTGTTGCCTTACTGTTAAACTTTAAGAAACTTCAAGATGATAATTTACTGTTGATGAAGTATTCTGGGTTTCAAGATTCAGTTCTGGCAAATTTCTTTTATGTTTATTTCCTCATGTAAATGACTAGAAGACATACTTCTTATTCTGTATGTATTAGGGCTGTTACAATTTTAAAAACTGCTTTAAATTTTTGAATGAAAGTCATTACAGGGGCTGATGTTTCAAGCCTGTCCTCATACGCATAGTGCTGTAAACATCATTGGGACTCTGTGGGAGATTGTCTGGAGTTGGGATATGTGAGAGAAAGCTTTGGTGTTCTCTCTGAACTATCTGCATACATCTCTTAAGCTTTGTCATTACAGCAAAAAAAAAAAAGTTTCTTTCCAGGCTAAAGAGAAGTACCAGGAGGGAAGTGGAGGAGTAACTGAAAGGACTAGAATGCTTTCTGAGGTAAAACACATCTTCACATAATTTCTTTTGCTTATTTTAAAACAATCTTCAGAGAGTTGGAATTTAGTGTTTGTGTTTTTTTGAACCCAGTTCTTTATGATATTTTTCTCCTGTTAAAGATTCATCTCTTTGTTTAGTGGAGGCAATCTAGTCCAGTCCATAAACTTTAAACCCAGGCTGCCATTGATTTTCAACTTGTGAATTTTGGGCAAACTATTGTGAGTTCTTAATTTCCCCAGTTTGTAAAAGAGAGTGAATGTTCTGTGGTTTAGAATTATTGAGGATTAATCATGTTCATAAATTCTTTGGAAAAAGAAAAGCTTTAGTGAAAATTAACAATTTGAAATGTTCATCTTCCAAGCACTTAAAACAGTAACTTTTCCATACCAGTCAAATTATCTTAATAGCTAAAACTGGTTTTCTGTTGTTTGTTGTTTTTTTTTTTTTCTTTTAAATCAGTTCTCTGACAAATTTAAAGAAAAATCCCCAGACTCCTCTGCTCCAACGTGCTGAGTGTTTCTTGGCATTTCATTTAGAATTACTGCCTGTTTCTAAATATTTCAACCCTTTGTCCAATTCAGAAATTGTTTGTTTTAATGACTCTGTTGTTTAGGTTTGAAAAACCCACTTCACTTATTAGACGATAAAGTGTCTGGAATAGTCACATAAAACGGATCACACTATAAGAATGTGCTGGAAATTGTAAAACAAGTTTGAGATGTTTTAGAATAGAATAGAGTAGTTCAGTTGGAAGGGACCTACAACAATTATCTAGTCCAACTGCAGTAGGTAATACAGTAGTTTTAACGAGAGTTTTCTAGCAAAGATTTCTGAGTGTATGGATTCCACAGAATTAGAGCTTCTTACTATTCCACTCCCAAGGAAGTCAGTTTGAAAAAAGGGAGTATCTTACGATCACTTCAGAATTATAATGTGTTTGTGCTCTGTAAGTTATTAACTGATTAATAATGGTGAATATGTTACTGGTTGGCAGCCTTCAAACTATGTAGATGCAGCAGTGCTTATCTGAGATAAACTAGACACATTGGATGTTACTGCTGATCTTGCAAGCATGCAATCAAATCTCAGCCCACTTGGCAATACCAATACCACTGTAGGTGTGCAATAAAATGCAGTGATTTTTTCTTCTTTGTTACTGAAAAGGCTTATTGAAACTTTAATGAAGGATTATTTTTATATCATAGGCAAAAATACTGAATTATTACCTAGACTGTGCCATAGAATCATATATTTGTTTTTTCTTCTTTGCCTGCAAAGGCAAACTGGTGGATAGACAGCCAGTGCTAAAGTGCACTTTCATTCTTCATGCGTGCATTTTACATATCCTGTACCTCTGCCTGCACCAGCAGGCTTGACTGGTGCACCTTTTTTTGCTGCAGTCCTGTTTCTTGGGTTTCCACTGTAACCTGCTGAAGTCCTGATGCTTCCAGAAGGGCAGGTGGCATGGTCATTTGGTGAATCTTGGTCTGCAGGGATACTGCTTCCTATCTTCCACCCATCATTATACAGCAACACTCACACCATGTTTTTTATTGGTTTGGGATGCGCAGATTCTCAGTATCACCATGCTGTTTGGCCAACTTGTTACTCTTTTGGCTGTAATTTTTGCATTCATTATTTAAAGTTAAATTACAATTTTCTTAATGTTTGAAAAAAATTGTTGCTCCCTATAAAAATTAGTTCATTTTTTTTAACTAATGCTGTTACTCAGCAGAATTTTTTTTTTAAATTTTTTTAACTTGACATTCATCTGGTTTAATTAAGAAAAAAAATATCTATTTTAAGATTACAGAAGCATTAGAAAGAGTAAAGCAGGAAACGGAAGAGAGAGGAAGCAGTATGACTGACGGTGGTAAGTATGTTTTTGCCTCAAATCAAACACCTGTTTTCTCAGTGACAGGTACATAATTTGTCTTTTATTAAAGAAAAATAAAGACCAGAATGAGTGACTGGTCTAAAATATCAATATTAAAATTGTTAAAAGTGTCTGAGGAAGTCAGGAGTCTAAACATCTTCGAAAATGTTACCCAAGTCAGCAGAAGGTAAAGATTCCAGGATTTCCTCCTTCAGTAAATTATTTGTAAAAATTGAGGAGAAGAAAGGGGGTTTATCTCTGCTTTGAATAGTTATCAGCTCACTGGAAGAAATTCCCACATTACAGGTTCAGGGTCCTTTACACTGAAATCGTTACTGGCAGTAGCTCTTAGATTCCCTGACTAAGGCTGCCTGGAGTTAGTGAGAAAATGCATTTTGCTGTTTTGATGTTTGGACTTTTTTAATCTTTACCTATTTAAAGTAGTTTGTCTCAGACTCATGATTTGGTTTTTGAGTTTTTTGCTGATAAATGCATTTTGTTGCAAATGTATAAGGAGTATGAATGCAGAAATAAATTGATGCATGTTACAGTGGGGCTAAATATGCATGCTGTATTCATGTTTAACTGTAACCATTACAGATAGTTTACTTTAGTAGTCGTGTTACTGTTTAAGGAAATTTTGTGCACCCTTGCTTCACTGTGAAGGAGCTACTCACCTGCTTCGTGACACCTTTTCTGTATGATAGTACGGCCAAGGGTCAGGATGAAATCTAGAGCCCAGAATTATAAGGAGCAATATGATGCAGCAGCATCCCTAGTGTGATATTGGTGGGAAGGATTGGGATGTGAGGGATTAGAAACAAAGTATGGAGCACAAAACATTTTAATAGCTTTTCACAGGTAACATCACCTCCTGCTGAAGGTGTCTTCAGTTCTCTACCAAACCCCAAGTCAGGTATCGAGATGAGGCTTTCAGCTGAACAAAACACATCATTGACAAACCTACCTTAATGTTGATGCACATCTTTATGCAGATTTTAGATGTCAAGAAGACAGCAAAATTGTCATCACCTGTTTCTATCTTTAAAGTGTCTTGTATGTTAAAAATGATGCATCAGTACAATCATGTCTTTCGAGTAGAAATGCCCTTTTGTTCATTCAACTCTTCAATTTTAAGGAGTGAATTATAAAAAATAATGCTTTTGTGTTAAGTAGCTGACAGAGTTGCACTGTTTATCTTTGTTTTGAACAGCTCCTCTAGTGAAGATTAAACAGGCCTTAACAAAACTAAAGCAAGAAACCGTTCAGATGGACATACAGATTGGTGTAATGGAACACACGTTACTCCAGTCGGAGCTGAAAGAGAAATCCAATATGACTAGAGATATGCATGCAACAGTCATTCCAGAAGCCGCAGTAGATGCCTATTAAAACTTTTCGGAGCTGACTTGGTTTGCCCAAAATAGTTTTCTACCGCTTGCTTTTTTGTTAGTTTAGAGGTTTCCTTTTTGTTGGAGGAGGCGGACATTCTTTTTTCTTGTTTCCTTTATAACAAGATGCTTGTCATGCACTTTTAAGAGGTAACACGCACACTTTGGACTGAACATGGAGCCACATTTAGTTTTGTGCTGTAAAGATTTACTGCAGATGCCTTCAAAATATACTAATAAATTCTTATTAATGAACGTGTCTATACTTCATTGGAGAATGTTATATAGTGTGAAAGTCTATGGAATGATACTGACAGCCTATAATCTTGATATTCTATAGTGCTGAAAGAAAATTGCTTGCAAAGGACTTGAAAGGAGTTTCAAGTGTCTGTTATTGCCATTTACATACATTTAGTTTAAAGTATTTAACTGATGATATTGAAATAATGAAGCATTACCCTTTCTAAAATGCTGGGTCAAAACTGATACCAGCTGCAAGTAAATTGCTTTGAAGTTTATGAAATAAACAACAAACTAATGTTTCAGTAATAGTGGCACGCTTCTAGGGCAGCCCTGTACAAATTTGTGAAAGGACAACCACCCTATTCCTCACTCTTTTTTTTTTTTTTTTTTTTTTTTTTTTTTGAGAGGTCCTCTAGACGGACCAGTATGGATGTTTTCTGTAATTATTTTTACTTTTACATTGCCTCTAACAGAAGCAATGATAACAAAATCTGTATAAAACCAAAGAATGTGGGAACTACTGTTTGGAAATTACTGTTTTCTAATTGTTTTTCCCATGTGTCATGTTTCAGAATCACTTTGTATTAGCATTGGGTCAAGTGCTCTTTCATTTACAGTATGTAGTATTGCTCTGTGGACATAACTGGGATTCTTTTTTTCTGTTCTTGTGTCAGAACACCTAGCTTTGATCTCTGTTAAGGAAAAATGTTGCCAAATCTAGTTGTGTAATACAGAATGAGATGAAAAATGTTGGAGGAAGGGGTTGGAAATGTAATGGCAACTGGGAGCTCCCTTTGTCATAGTAAATGTGTAGGTAGAGAGTAATTCTAGTCATTATTGGTAATGAAGGAGTATGGAACAAAGAAATACCTTGTTAAAGTACTAGTACATCCTTTTGGTTACCATTGTTCATTAGCCATGGACAATATCAGTACAAGACCAGTGATATTAAAATCCTCCCCTAACTTCTGTAGGCAATTCTATTCATCTTACAATTAATTTCCCTCACTTAAAGGTGGGCAGTATTTTGCAGAATCAGTGGATCAGTTCTGTGTCTGAAAGCCAAGACACTTGACACAGTCAGTACCATGAGACAGTTTCTTAACTTTGTTGTGCTTCAGTATTTCATTTGCCAAAAAGAAAAAGTGCTAAACCCATCAGATTTTAATAAGTGAAAAGCTGTATGTGAATGTCAACCATTATAATTTACCTGTGCAAGCAACTGCTGAAAATCCCTATGAATCACATTGGAAATCAGTTTCCAACTTCTTTTGCTGCCTACCTGTATCCTCCCACATACAGCTTAAATTAGAAAAGTTATTATTCATGTTCCCTTTGTTAGGTGGTGTTGCTACTGCATATTTACTTTAACAGTGGGTTTACTTCAGCTTAAGATAAAGCAATCCCCTTCTGCATTGCCTGCAAAGCAGCTCACTGACGCTTTTGGATTGCAAATGTTGTGCTGTATAAATGGTGTTTATGTAAATACTTTCCAAAAAGCCCTCCTCCTTCATGCTATATAACAAACACAATTAATCAAAAACCTTCCCTTATGAATTGAGCCTCTTATTCTATTAGAAGTGAATCTGTTGAGACAAGCATGGCCAAAAACCCTCTAATGTAGAAAAATCTCCAGAAGAAAAGCTAGCCTCCTTTATGCCAAAGTAATTCTAAAATAGCGTGCTAATTATATGTAATTAATCAACATTACTTTCACGGTATTGTCTGAAACTGCATTAATCTAAGCAGGACGCTTCCGTTGTCTCGAGAGTGATACGTGGCCCTTAATTGTCATCAAGCAAAGAATGGCATTTGCCCATTTCAACAGTGAAATCACTTGACCCTGCTTTGAAAGCAGTCTTACTGATCCAGCAAGCGGCCACACCACCCTTCTTTAAAAGCGTGAGAAGAGCAATGAGGTCTGTCACGAGCAGCCTGAAAGGCTGTTCTAAAAAAGCAATTATCTGTGTAATTATTCTACTGCTGGATCAGTGCAGGAAGCAGAAGCCACATTAAATCACTTGATTCACATTATTTCACACACCGCTCATTATCTGATGCAATGTCGGAACTGAAGATGAACAAAATGAAGGTGTCCCTAAGTAGGATACACATGAAGCTGTGCTGTGTGATAAAACTGTGTCTCTTCTAAAGAACATTTGGGGCAGGAGGGCTCTTCATAGGAGTTAACTTTTATATACAGCTCTCCTCTTCCAAGGTATCTTCACATTTTCAGTCCTCTGAACTACATCAGCATGGAGGCACCTTGTCACTGTTACATGTCACCTAGAAGCCAGGTGGAACCTAGCTGCAGACAGAGGGGCAAACAAGGAGTTTCATCTTCTGAGTCTGGTCAGAGAAGGAGATGGGTTTTGTCCTTGCTGTGAGGACTGCAATAGTTAGGTTTCATGTGTGACCCCAGGGAGAGGTGAGACTTGGCTCTTGGAAACACATGGCTGAGGAAGGCTTATCAGTAGCCAGCCTACTCGCCTGCATGTACTCCCAAAAGCTCCAGAAGAGGAACACTAGCAACATACTACTTCTTAGGGTTTCTGAAGCTCTGAAATCCCTCTGAACCTCATAATACGACTCAATGCCTTACTCTCCTGGGCTATCTTATCTCTAGGCCAGGAAGCAAAGGGTGCAAGTGCTCTCCTAGGAGCTAGAAGTAGCCTTAGTGCTTGGTATGCTATTAGAGGTGCTGTTTGCAGGCAGGCCATTCAGGTTGTTTTGAAAGTGATGTTACATGCATTACTGTCTTTAATAAATACACTATTCCAATGCCCATTATCTTCTAATGTCAGCACACAGCATGATTTGCTGAATATTTTGTGCTGTTCTGGTAAAAAGTGCAAAGTAAGGGCTGGATTTTTACCTCTTAATCCAATTAATCCCATAGAGAACCTTCTGTGGAGGTAGTGACTTCATATTGAAATTGCAAGAGTTGAATAGTGGCTTTCAATCATATGCCAAGAATTCAGTAATGACACAAGTTAATCATCTGCGCTTGCATCAGTGAATGCTGTGCAGGAAGGTGAACCAGGTCACGTGAATTTGGGAAACCACTAACTGTTACAAACTACTTCCAGATCCCCGTCAAAATACTCTCACTCTTTTCTGATGGCATTAAAGGCCTTTCCCTCTTACTCCACCCGACAGAGAGGAACTTTGTGTTGGTTTAAGCCCTGCCAGGACTGGAGACCATGTTGCCATTGTCCCTCCCCAATCCTTGGACACAAGTAGGGCACAAACCCCGGGTTAAAATAAGAAGACATTTAATACAACAGTGTAATAAACAATCTGAACAACAACAGTAGCAATGATAACAACAATAAACAGCAATAACAGTGAACAAGACAAAAGATATACAGAGAAATATCGCAATGGTTACAGACAGCCGGCCGTGTGCTCCCCATCACCAAAGCCACAAAGGAAAAAGTTCCCACGCTCCTGCGCCCAGACCTGACGTCAGCATGGTATGAATAACCTGGCTGGAGATCCCTTCCCCCTCTCTGCTGGGGAAACCTAACTCTATCCTAGCTGAACCAGGACAAACTTCAAGGATCCTAGCTGAACCAGGACAAACTTCAAGGAGAATTCTTTCTCGAAAAGGAAAACAAATGCCAACCTACTATTAAACATTGCCACTCTTTTTGGCATATAGCTCTGCCGTGCACTATGACATACAAAAAAGTCACTGTATTGCTAATTGTAAGTTACAATAAGAGCAATTAAGTCATCTCTGTGTGACCTATAATAAATACTAGGCATAAATGAAGAGCCTGTATGTGAACACATCCAGTTTCTGAGCTCTTTGAATTTTGCATCCAAATTTTGCAGCCTGGGCTTCTCTCCAAGTTTGGCAAATGTTAATTAAAAAAAAAGGAGAAATTAGTGCGATGCTGTTTCTTTTCACACCGGCTCTGAGCCCACTCCTTGAATGTCAATGCTGCAGTGTGCCTCCACAAGGCAGCGGCATGTGTGTGCGCACACACGGTGCGCGTAGTCCTGCCTGTCCTTGGGCTGAAAGCAGCAGTAGGCTTCGGCGGCATAACAGTGTGCCTGTGAGTATCCTGTCCCACATCCTCCGGCAGCACGGCTTTCCACTTTCACGTTGATGCATTAATGTTTCAGGAAAGGGCTGGGTGTTTTCTGACAAAGGCTTGAATTAAAACTTGGGAAAAGCCTGGCCTATGACATCAGTACCTGTGAACTTAAATAAACAGAGAATAAGAGCACCAGCTTTTCTGCATGAATACTGTTCATAGGTGGGGAGTTTCCACAGGAGGCTGCAGGATTGCAAAAGTTATTTTTGTCTGCCATTTCCTCCTCTCAATGTATTTCTCCCTTCAACAAACACCATGACCAGGGCTTTCTCAGGTATTAGCTAATACTTAGCTATTATTGCTCCAGGGCTTGGTGTTGCTGGAAATGTTTGTCTTTCAGCTTCCATAGTAACAGCCCTACCGTTTTGCAAGCAATTATTCCCAGAAAATGCTGGTATGAGCAGGGTTGAGAGCTTTTTATTGGGAATACATAACAATTTGGATAATGCTAGTCTTTCACTTATTGGCTAGGTTTACTCTGTTCTTTTTCACTCCTGGTCTTAAATTAATTAAGAGTGGGTGTATCTCGGAACTCCATCCCAGAAGTGGCTGAGACATGCTAGTCAGTGACAGGTCTTAGCTACCTGTTGTAAAAATCCACAAAGATGAACATTTTAAGGTCAGAAGTACAGAATAATTATTTCTAGTAACATTCCTCTCCATGACTCACTAACTGCAATTGTTCATTCAAAATATTCTCCTGTTTCTGTGGCTTTCAAAGAATGTCAGTATTTCAGATGACATCTTAGTGTTACTTAGTAGTAACATGAAGAATTAAACTGTGGGTTGTAAGCATCCCCTAGTCCAAAAGTTTCCCGTCCCTCTTCTAGTTTTACAACTGAAGTTTCCCACTGTATCTTGGGAGAGGGGCTTTTGTAAGGTTTTCGAGAGTTCTCTCTATCCTCT